GTGTTACTGAAGAATTGCTGAATTTAATATATGACGTTCCATTAATATTTTACAATCATTTTTGGTGTACGTGTGTGTGGGAGTTCACTATTAATTTTCAGGAAAATAAAACCTCTGAGAAAAGACACAGGACGTTATCACACCAGGGGTCTCAAAGCGGCAAGAAAATTGGCATGGAATCAATCCAGAACCATACCGGAATGGCCCGTGTCATCAGACAAGAAAGCAGCATCATACCGGAATGGTTCTGGATTGATTCTGGTCGCGGCAGCCGTAATTCCTCTTTGAAAGAGGAATTGCAAAGAACTGGGATGATGCAGCAATGCGCCAGGGATGATGCAGGGATGGGCGGGGTTTGTTGCGACGTTGTCTGATCACAGGGGCAAAGGATCTGGAATGATGCAGGGATGGGCGGGGTTTGCTGCGACGTCGCCTGATCACAGGGGCAAAGGATCCGGAATGAGATCCGTCAATTAACATCACTTGAAAGCTTTAAAAAAGCTGTCAAGACGGATCTCTTCCGGCAGGCCTTTCCGGATTAATTATCTAAGCCTCGGGTATAAATAAAAACATTCTCCCCAGTGATCCTTACGTGGCCCCATCATCGATGGTTGGATCTCACTGGCTGGACACATACTCTGGGTCACCATTTTATCTATTTTAAATAGCTGTGTTTTTTTGTTGTTTTAAAATTTACTTGATTTAATACTGTTTTAAGGGGGGTGGGGGGTTATTGTATATATATGTTTTATTGATGTACTCATTCTTAATTGTAAGCCGCCCAGATTGATATTTCAGAGGGCGGGGTATAAATAAATTTTATTATTATTATTATTATTATTATGCAGGGATGATGCAGGGATGGGCGGGGTTTGCTGCGACGTCATCTGATCACAGGGGCAAAGGATCCGGAATGATACAGCGATGGTGCAGGGATGTGGCTGCTTTAGACCCTGTGTGATAACGTCCACAGTTTAAATTATTATTGCTTCATATAAGTAAGTTAAATTGTGCAAGCAAAAGTTTTGAAAAATCTCTCTAGAGTTTCTCCCATCTAAACATTTGAAAAACTGAACATTGTGTTAATTTCAGAAAGTTAACTTTGGGGCATTTTCTGTAAGCACCATTTTAACAATCAACAAGAGCCACAAATAGGCATATAATGCACTTGCACAGGATTTACTTGATGGTGGATTGAGCCCATTCAGAGACAACCACTCAGAAGAAAACCATAAATGTTTTGTTGTTGTTAACTGCCCTCAGGTCGATCCTGACACATGGTAACCCTGTGGATGAGACACGTCCAAGACTCCCTATCCTCCACTGCTCTGCTCAGGTCCTGCAAGTTCATACCCATGACCTCCCTAATAGAAACTATCCATCTTGTGTATCGTCTTCCTCTCTTTCATCTACCCCTCTACCTTTCCTAGAATTATTGTCGTTTCTAATGAGTCATGCCTTCTCATGATGTGGCCAAAATACAACAGCTTCAATTTAATCATCTTGGCTTCCAGGGATATTTCAGGTTTGATCTGTTCAAAGACCCACTTGTTTTTTTTTTTTTGACTGTCCATTGTATCCTTACCACTCTTCTCCAGCACCACATCTCAATGAGTTGGTTTTCTTCTTACCCACTTTTTTTCCACTATCCAGCTCTCACATCTATAGGTGGTGATGAGGGATATAATGGCTTGGATGATTCTAATTTTTGTATATCTTTACATTTTGGGAACTTTTCTAGTACTTTCATTGCTGCCTTCCCCTTTCCTAGTTTTCTGATTTTTAGACTGAAGTCTCCATTCTTATCAATGTTGGATCCAAGGTATGAGAACTCTTACTATTGCAATGTCCTTATTGTCTAGGTTGGATTTATGTAGATGTTGTGGTCCTTATTTTTGTTTTCTTTCTGTTCAGCATTAAGCCTGCCATTGGACTTTCTTCTTTCACCTTCCTTAGTAACTGTTTCAAGTCCATTATGTTTTCCATTAGTAGTACAGTGTCATCCGCATATCTTAGATTATTGATATTCTTCCTGCCTATCTTTACTCCTCCTTTTTCCAAAACTAAGCATGCTCTTCGTATGATATTTTCAGCAAACAAGTTGAACTAATCAGATGATAAAATGTAGCCTTGCCTGACCTCTCTGACAACTGGGAACCATTCTGTTTCTCCATATTCTGTTTCAAATTATGGCAAAGAACATTTGGTAGGTTGCTTTAAAATATCAACAACCCAATTTTTTGTGCATAAATTAACATTTGTCTTCCTAATATATGGGGCAACAATATGTAATTCATCAATCTAGTCAGCCATAGAACATCTTTATGACCACAGTGTCACACATTTCCAGTTCAGGTATTTTATGGACATCTTATTTCCAGGTGAGAGAGATGAATGCAGAACCCTGAGAGGGAAAGGAAAGACCTACTGAATTGGTAAGATCTGTGATCTTTGATATGAGAAACACTCACTCCCCAAGCACCTAATCCAGTATGAGACAGGTTCTCCATGCAGAACTGGGCCACTACCAGTTGGTAGATCTCCTTTTGTGCTGAATTCAATTTGCAGGTTGGACAGTCATGCCATATGGACCAATATGCCAGTCTTCTACCCTGTGCCAAGAAAATAGTTAGGAGTTATGCAGTTAGGCATTGTAAAGATCTCAGTAACATGGGAGTGTTTTAGTTGTGATTCCTGTATTAAATTCTCATTTAATTATGGCACTAGGTAGGCCATGTAGCACCTTCCAGCTCTATGATTCTATGACCCTGTGGCCTCAGGGATGGACAGCAGCTGAACAGAACTAAAGAGAGGAAAAAGCAAGAGAGAAAAGGATGTAGATCAGGGAATGAACAGAAGAAACAGTCCATAAAAATGTTAAGAAAATTATGTCTAAGGGGCAAAAGTGAGGTAAAGCTAGCTAAAAAAGAAGATAGGCACTGTTACCCAACAGCCCATTTAGCCCAAGTGTATCTGTCTTACATCTTCATACACATTCCCACCATTTGGTGGACCTCTTGCTAGTCTCAAATAATTAGCTGGGCTCTTCATAGCACAAAGCAATTCATGAATTGCTATTCATGCCCAGGCTCCTTCTTTAAATCTTTTCAAAATCTAAAATGCTCCCTTTGGGAATTGCATATAAAGTATAAGCTACTAAAGAAGACTGCTAGAAGGCCAAAAGTATATTCTGTTCTGTTCCCTATTCATCTTTTTTTCAGAACACATTTGCTTTTGTTGTACACTTAAAGGCATAAACCAGACCAACCAACCCCCCAAAACCCATTATCTTATTTAAGGGATTTTACTTTTGTGAATTTGTCCATTTTTGTTAAGTTTCAGCAAAGCTGCAGTATCTGGCATAAATGCTGGCATGAATTAACACAAGGGTTTATTTTGCATGTCATTCAGGGTATAAAAGAACTTTCAAACATTAGAGCCAAAATCACTTGCTTTTGCTGCACTGCATAATAAGTTTTCTACAGAATAGCCTAATTAAAGTCATTGGGTCTGATCCAAAGTTAATGGTTTAGATTCCACTGTACCCTTTTAACCTGCACACACATTGTACTTATATGGTACTGAACTCCATTGTGAATTGGTCAAGTAACAACTGTCCTCAACTACATGGTAAGAAGGCTACAGTTAATCCTGGCAGAGCTTCTTTTACCTTCATGTTCAGCTGATGCCCAAAAACTGTCTTGCAAGTACTTTTCATGAAAGGCAACGGTTACCTCTTCTTGACAATCAACACTCAATGGCAGTAATCCAAAACTGTGCACATGCTTATTGGAATGTGAGAGCCTCATATAAGCACAGGTAACTTCACTGCCCCAAGTGAACATGGGAAAAGCTATAGAAGAATAGGGTTTTTTCCTTTGCTGGATCATGGCAATGTATGCCTAGACATTGGGCCTAGCACAAGTGGTACTAGCTAAGACAGCTGTTGGTAAAAGAGTTACACATTCGTATGCACAAACACGTCCAAGTAATGTTGCAGCACTCTGTGAAAAGCTATGCTTGAAAGAGGGCCAAAGTGATGCCAGCCAAAAGAGAGAGATTTAGATCAGATCTCTTCCAGTCTCACAAGGTCACTTACCAAAAAGACTGATACAGTGGAATATGAGAAAAGCAGAGGGAAATGTTTGAAACAGAAACTCAGCTAGGAAGGAAAGGAGAGGATTATCCCCAGCCCAAGCTAATGGGAAAGAGTCAGATGATGGATGAGGCACTGGCATTAAAAGGACAAGGGCCAATTGTAGAAGCATCTAAATGAAAAGACAAGGCAGTTTCCAGGCAGAATGGCAAAATGAAATTCACTCAGAGGATTAAAACTATTTGAAAAGGAAAGAGGCCCACACTTTAACTTCTCTTTAAGCATGAAACTGTGGACAACCATCATACTGAGAAATTATCATTTATCTACTGGTACACGCTACAATAAAGCACATTTTAAACAAATCTGGCTGAATTTTTCTTCTAGGCTAAAGGTTTCAGCTATGTGTGTGTGTGTGTGTGTGTGTGTGTGTGTGATGCACACGCACTTCAAGTTGCCTGCCACCTTATGGTGACCCCCATGAATTTCATAGGGTTTGCTAAAACAAAGAATACTCAACAGGTGGTTTGCCATTGCCCTCCTCTGCAATATGGCCTACAGTGCCACATATTTCTTGGTGGTCCCCCAGCCAAAGTATTAACCAGGCCTGACCCCTCTTAGCTTCCAAGATCAGATGGAGTCTAGTGCCTTCAGGGTATTTAGGCCTCTACGTTTAAAGACATACATCCCCCAGATAGGGCAGAGTGAAGTTACAGATGAGTGTGTGTGTGAATTATATGAAGCAACATTGAAGCAACTTCATTCTGGACAGAAAAATGCAGTATTATTTTGTTGTTGTGTGCCTTCGAGTCATTTCCAACTTCTGGCGACCCTGAGAACCTTTCACAGAGTTTTCTGGGACTGAGAGTGTGTGACTCACCCAAGGTCACCCAATGGGTTTCCATGGCCAAACAGGGAATTGAACCCTGATCTCCGGAGTTGTAGTCCAACACTCATATCATTACACCACACTGACTCTTCAGTATCATTACCATATTAAAATTCCCATTTCTGCATTGGTGTGTGTATGTAGAGAGAAGAAATTGACACAGGGCCATATAAAAATCTTAGAGTCTAATACAACTCTGTGAGGTAGATTGCAGCCACCTCTTTACTCCAGTTCAATCTGTCAGAGGACTCCAAGGCTATACAAGACACCCCTAAAAGTGTAAGGAATCCACAAACAAAAACTGTACCCTCAGTTCCAAAGTCTCAGGCCAGAAATCTTTAAACCATGGGTGGGAATCTTGAGCCCTCCCAAATGTTATTGGACTTTAGCTCCAAGCAACCCCAGCCAGAATAACCAAGAGTGAAGAATTATGACAGCTACAGCTCAACAGCATCTGAAGGGTAAAATGATTCCTACCCATGCTTTGACAGTATCCAAGAGGTAAGAAGTAATCACAAAGCTATTTGGAATGGGGCATACACAATCGTAGAGAGAAACGGTTTTATTTACAAAAATAATAGGAATATAATATACTAAGAACTAACATAACATTTGGAGAAACTGCAGGCCATCAAAAAATAAGAAAGCTTGGCTGATCCTAACTATAATGATTATCTCAGCACTAATTAAAGTGGCTTACCTGAGCCAGCTTAAAATTTAAAATGGGTGGCATCCTGATGTTATATTTGTTTCCAAAAAATATTTTTTTAAAGCTAAGCAGGGCAGAAGGGAGCCCTGCAAGTTTTTCAAAAGCGAATAGCTACTCCTGGAGGCTTTTAGGAGAGAGCTCACATTTTTTGGCAAGCAAAAGGGCAGCCCAAGGAAGGGTGAGAGACGGGGGCATATGCAGCCTAGGATTGTACTTCACCCAGTCCTGGCTTTGGCCTTGATGGGTGAAACCTTAATGAAAAAGTGCAGGTGGCCCAATGACGACATATTCAGGAAATGGAAGCAACTAGATGTAATGAGGAAAACCACATTTATTCACATGCAATTGAATGTTTCAAAACACTGGCAAAATTTGTGGGGGGACAGAGTGACTCCATTTTAAAAGCATGTGTTGGCATATCAACATTTTCCAAAAGGAACTATGCACGCAGAGAACCTGAAGGTTTTCTTGAACCTTCAGATTTGTTCTATAGAAAGGGCAGAGGACCGTTTATCACACTTCTGCCCAACTATGTTTAGGGAGCCCTCCCTAAAGGGACAAGTGCAGTGAGAAAATATCCCACAAGCCCCTTGGCTTTGTTCTGGTGATGCGATTTCCAGAAAGGAAGCCTCACACTGCCAACTGTGATGGAGATTTGTGCTCCTTGGATAGTTTCCACTTGCGCCATCAGATTTATTTATTTTTTAAGTAGCAATAAATCTGCAGTCATTTATTCAAAGATAGACTGGCTCAAGCAGTCAAGAGAAAGCAAGAAAGAAACTTTGGTCTCAAAATGCTTTACAAGCACTGCCAAATGCCATGCCTGTTAATGGCCACGATCCTGGCCTTCCACATAGAGGTCACAGAAGCTGAGCTTCATTGCTGAACATGCCTTGTATTGATCGGGGCCTTTGCTGGGGCCACTGACAGCAAAAAAGACAAACCCAAGGAGCATCAGCCTGCATTAATGCTGGAGGCTGCTGGGGGCTTGCTTACACCCCCTCATCACCCCTTGAGTAGTACAAGATTGCAGGCATACAGTTTCAAGTAAACACATGAGCAGAAGTGTTCAGTCATTGTAGGGCCAAGAATATAATATATATTCAAGCACGAATTCCCAGGATGACCCACATTTTAATTACTTTTTATTTTAGACTGTTGCTTTTTTGGCCACTGTTTCAGAGAGGTAGACTCCAGCAACCAGCAGTTCTGTAGGCAAATGATTTCATCAGCCATTCTTGAAAGTGATGAGATTGACTTGTTGCTAGATTTCTTTGTTATTGCTGCCTGGCTTCTTGCTTGTGATGTAAAAGTACTGTCAGTGTTGCTTTTAGAATCTTACACATGTTTATGAATATGGATGAGAAATCCTGGGTATTAATTATTCCCACCGGTGACTCACGCTCCCACTTGCGAAATCTTCTCCAGCGCAAGAGTAGTGCACTGCAGGTGGGCAATTATCATAATTATGGGCTCCAAATAAAACAAATTGTGATATAGCCCTTAAATGTTTGCAGATTTCCATTACTTGTTTATCAGTATTACTTTGCCAAATGGGAGGAAACACCAATCTAATTCAATCACTCAGTTTTGTGCTCATGAGAAGAGGCACCACAGCACAAGCATCATGGCTATGGCATTTCAAATCTTGCTTGCAATGTGTTCTTCTAACCCCTTCTGCCCCTGCAATGAGTGAAATATATATTCTGCTTGTATTTTGGGTCATTTGGGGAAAACTAAATCCAGGTTTATTTCCCTTCAGAAGAGAGTGCAGATTTTTACAGCTGATGTTTCCCTAAACCTCCCTCTGCATTCTGATGAGGTAAGTCTTCATTTTAACTTCTATGTGATTTATGTCTGCAAGGTGATGTAATGTGTGTAATTTAACATACAGATTTGTCTCCCTTTATGGGGGAAAGAGAGTATGGATTTTTGCTCCTGATTCTCAACAACAATTTAAAAAGTGGCATCAGGACAGATTTAGGCCCAGGGCCAACAGTACACGAGACCCCCTCCCATCTTAAACAGAGAAGGCTAGAGGCATGTAAAATGTTTTTTCCCCTTGCCTCCAGAATCTTTTCCCCAACAAGCCATGTCACACAATAAATCTCATTCCCCAAAGTGACCTTTCAACTGCACACAATGGCCAGATTCACCATTTTTCACAGAGCTGTGACCCAGGAACAATATAGTTCTACTCATCTCACATACAATGCTTTCCTTTGGAGTCATTTCACATGTTCAGCTGCCAGTCACCAAGTAAAGAAGAATGAAGTGATGTAAAGGCATATGAGAAGTGGCCCAAGAACGGGGCTGGCCCTACCATTAGGCAGAGTGAAGACTCAATCAGCAGAGTTGGAAGGAAGCAGTGCCAGCTGCCTGCACCCGGAATCCCCTAGCAAGTGACCTCAGTTGATGCATCCCGCATGTCTGTGCTGCACCCCTTATGCCAGCCTGTTCCTCTGTTGTGGTGGGACATTGTTGCACCAAAGTCTTCCAGTGTTGAAAGAAGCAGTCAACAGCCAGTCCTGGCAGCTGTTGCATAAGGAATAGGAGAGGATGCAATCTTATTTTTTTACCTGAGACAGAGAAGTATTCTGGGCCAGACCTACCAATGCATACTGGATTTAAGGATGGGTTGCCAGTTTGGGGTCTCATCCCAGAAAACAGTTGAGACGTTTAAATATTCCCATCACATCTATGAGGGTTGCTATTTTTTAAAAACAGCCTGAATAATGCCAGGCTTTCACTGCCTGATATCTCTTCCTTCTCCCATGTGGAAAAATTCCTCACCCTTGGGAAGAAGGACTAGAGTACAATAGAAGACTCCAGTGAAGTCAGAGGAGGATAGGCCTCTTCTCATACATCAGTGAAATCATGAAGATCAGGGGTTTAAATCTGAATTAACCTGAAGACCTGGCATGGATTCACCAACCCACTAACATAGGTGCCACCAGCCACTACTTTTTTATTTTATTTATTTCATTTCATTTCTATGCCACCTTTCTCCCAGGAAGGGACCCAAGGTGGCTTACAAGATAAAAACATCTAAAAAATTTCACAGTAAATTAAAAAAAATTAAAATAATATATTGAAAACAACAACAACAACAACAATAATAATTTTTATTTATAGCCCGCCTCTCTGCCCAACAATCGAGGCGGGTTACAGCATTAAAACAGAACAGTGTAAAAACAACCCCAATCCCCAAGTCCCAACCTCCCAACCCCTTAAAACAATATTAAACAAGAAAAGATTAAAACCATTAGACAATAACAATAATAAAACAATAAAACTCAGCGCTAAGCAAACACAAGCAGTAAGCCAATTAATTAACAGACCGACCTATCTCCCGGGCAGATATATTCTGGGGGAAGGAAGTTATTCTGGGAAGGCCTGCCGGAAGAGATCCGTCTTCACTGCCTTCTTAAAGGCAGTGAGCGTGGTAATAAGACGGATCTCGTCCGGCAGGCCATTCCATAGCCTGGGGGCAGTGGCAGAAAAGGTCCTCTGGGAGGTTTGAGACAGCTTAGTTCTTATTGGCTGTAACAGGTTCCTCCCAGAGGACTGAAGGGTGCGGGTGGGGGATCATACGGGGAGAGGCGGTCCCTAAGATAAGATGGACCCAAGCCATGTAGGGCTTTAAAGGTTAAAACCAACACCTTGTACTGTGCCTGGAAACTAATTGGCAGCCAGTGGAGGGATTTAAGCACTGGTGTTATGTGCTCCCTCCTTGATGTTCCGGTAATTAGCCTGGCTGCCATATTTTGCACCAATTGAAGTTTCCGGGTTAGGCACAAGGGTAGCCCCATGTAGACCGTGTTGCAATAATCCAGACGTGAGGTTACCAGTGCATGTACCACAGTTTCCAAGTCC